ATAGTGTAATAATGATTTTAGGAGAATTCAGTGATTCATCACTTACATATAACACCCAGTGCTCATCCCAAGTGTCCGCCTTAATGTCCATCCACCATTTAGCCTATCCCCCTACCCACCCACCTCCCCTCCAGCAACCCTCAGTTTGTTCTCTGTATTTAAGAGTCTCTTATGGCTTCCATCCCTCTCTGTTTCTATCTGATTTTTTCCTCCCTTCCCCTATGTTCATCTGTTGTGTATCTTAAATTCCACACATGAATGAAATCATATGATATTTGTCTCTCTCTGCCTGACTCATTTTGCTTAGCATAATGGCCCCCTAGTTTCCTCCATGTTGTTGCAAATAGCAAGACTTCATTCTTTTTGATCACCAAGTGATATTTCATCATATATATATACATATATATATACATATACATACATATATATACATATATATGTATATACATATATATGTATATATATGTATATACATATATATACATACATACATACACACCACACCTTCTTTATCCATTCATCAGTCGATTAACATTGGGCTCTTTCCATAATTTGGCTATTGTCAATAGTGCTGCTCTAAACATTGGGGTGCATGTGCCCCTTGGAATCAGCATTTTTGTAACCTTTGGATAAATACCTAGTAGTGCTTTTTCTGGGTTGAAGGGTAGTTCTATTTTTAGTTTGTTTTTTTTTTTTAATTTTTTTAACGTTTTTTTTTTTTTTTTTGGGACAGAGAGAGAGAGAGCATGAAGGGGGGAGGGGCAGAGAGAGAGGGAGACACAGAATCGGAAACAGGCTCCAGGCTCTGAGCCATCATCCCAGAGCCTGACGCGGGGCTCGAACTCACGGACTGCGAGATCGTGACCTGGCTGAAGTCGGACGCTTAACCGACTGCGCCACCCAGGCGCCCCTATTTTTAGTTTTTTGAGGAACCTCCATACCGTTTTCCAGAGTGGCTGCACCAGTTTGCATTCCCACCAACAGTGCAAAAGTGTTCCCCTTTCTGTGAATTCTTGCCAACATCTGTTGTTTCCTGAGTTGTTCATTTTAGCCACTCTGACCTGTGTGAGATGGTATCTCATTGTGGTTTTGATTCGTATTTCCCTGATGATGAATGGTATTGAGTGTCTTTTCATGTGTCTGTTAGCCATCTAGATGTCTTCTTTGGAAAAGTGTCTACTCACGTCTTTTGCCCATTTCTTTGCTAGATAGATTATTTGCTTTTTGGGTGTTGAGTTTGATAAGTTCTTTATAGATTTTGGATACTAACCCTTTATCTGATATGTCATTTACAAATCTCTTCTCCCATTCCATTGGCTGCCTTTTAGTTTTGCTGATTGTTTCCTTTGCTGTGCAGAAACTTTATATTTTGATGAAGTTCCAATGGTTCATTTCTGCTTTTGTTTCCCTTGCCTCCAGAGACGTGTCAAGTAAGAAGTTGCTATAGCCGAAGTTCCTCTTAACAAATTTCAAGCCGAGGCTGCAAAACAAAACCAAAAAAAAAAAAAAAAAGTTCCATTTCCCTAATGGAGCTCCATTTTGTGACCCTTAGCAATCATAACTCCATTTTATAACTCTGTTCACATCTCCTCCTTTTGATCAAGATCTTTCTTCAGAAAGCATTGATGATCAATAAATTTTCAAAAACATTGATGAATAATTTTATGTTTTGGGTCCTTCATCGCAGGAAGGTTCATTTCTGGTATGTCATGTCCCACTGAGGAGAGAAACAGGTGTAGGCAGGAGTTGTTAACCTAAGGACAATGGCTACATTTGAGCAACAGGGAGCCTCAGGGAAATGGATCTTGGGCATTGTCCTTCGTCATATCTGTCAGTTGAGGAAAGATGTCAGGAGGGAAGGTTTGGCCAATCATTTCTAGTCTCTGAGCTATCGTCACAACATTTTAGGAAGAAACAACAAAAAGAAATAAGAAAGGCTGGGAATGCAAGCTGGTGCAGCCACTCTGGCTGCTATTTTGTCTATAGCTTATCACTTGGAAAAATTATCAAAAGGCTTTGTTCAACCTACTTTTTAAATTCATTCCCTTGGGGCGCCTGGGTGGCTCAGTCGGTTAAGTGTCCGACTTCGGCTCAGGTCATGATCTCACGGTCCGTGAGTTCGAGCCCCGCGTCGGGCTCTGTGCTGACCGCTCAGAGCCTGGAGCCTGTTTCAGATTCTGTGTCTCCCTCTCTCTCTGATCCTCCCCTGTTCATGCTCTGTCTCTCTCTGTCTCAAAAATAAATAAATGTTAAAAAAAAAATATTTTTTTTAAATATAAAAAAAATAAAAAAAAATAAAAAAATAAATTCATTCCCTTGCCTGACCCTCACTTACAAGCATGTGGACAAGTTGATAAAGGTTGGAATAGCCAGGCTCCTAGGTCTCACTGACTACATGGAATTCTTTCACAAATCTTAGCAGGTCTTCAAAGGCATTGGGAAAGTCCTCGGTAATGGCTTACAGTTCTGTCTTAGTCCGAGGAGCGTAAGGAACTGATGAAGTCTCAGAGCCTCCTTCCTTAGATCTAACTGGGAAAGGATGCCTGCAGGATCTACATGAACGCCCAGGCTGCCATTATAGAAGGGCAGTGCAACTCATCTAGGATGTGTACACGGAGAGTAGGAGACAGAGGGTGGGAAGAAGGGGTGGGGAAGGGGTGCGAACAGCAGGGGTGGGGGCAGAACAGAGGAGGAGGGGCAAGGGGTTGAGAGGCATCAGCTATTTCTTCTATTCTTGAGAGCCTCTTAGAAGGGTCTGAATTAACTGCTGAGAATGTAGACTTAGCTCCTGAAGGGAAGCAAACTTTCCAGTGTTTCTTTTGGAATCTCCATTTAAAATAAGCCCCCCACTCATTTTGTTCGGTTGTATAACTCCTTCTCAGTTTATGCATGCAAGTAACCTCAGTTTGGACTATCAGAAGTGCCCCATGTTGGCCAATAAGGCTTTAAATCATCGTGGGGAATGCGAGTCTAACAGGCAAACATTTTTCAGCAAGAAGAGCCGTCTTCCTTACACATAAGTCCTGCAGGAGCTCCGGCAGGGGGCTGGTTATCAAGAGTCCCCTTAGGAGAATGATCTCCCCAAACAGAGTATTCATCAACAAGCTGAAACCCAACTCTTCCACTCAAAATGAGTGAAAACAGAATCCTCTCTTCAGAAATGAGAGAGGGCAGAAGCCAGCAGCAGAGGACACCCAAACAAGGGAGGTTTGGGCCCAGGAGGACTTACCACCAAGAACAAGGTTGCCAGGGGAGATGGTGGAAAACAGTGGCATCCTGCAGGTACTTCACAGGTGCCCACTGCGGCTTGGAACAGAAGGCAGTTGCTCGGGACTCCACTTCTCTGACACCATGGAATGTCAACGGATCTCAGACTGTGTCTGTAAAAACAAGCAATGCATTTATTTGGGGTCTTGGGGATTGCGGTTTGGAAGATAGATTCGAGAGGGATCAAACAACTGGGGGAAGAAATTAGGAGTTTCTAAAGGCAAAAACCACAAGTTGTTTTAAAAGAATAATGATTGGGGCGCCTGGGTGGCGCAGTCGGTTAAGCGTCCGACTTCAGCCAGGTCACGATCTCGCGGTCCGTGAGTTCGAGCCCCGCGTCAGGCTCTGGGCTGATGGCTCAGAGCCTGGAGCCTGTTTCAGATTCTGTGTCTCCCTCTCTCTCTGCCCCTCCCCCGTTCATGCTCTGTCTCTCTCTGTCGCAAAAATAAATAAATGTTGAAAAAAAAATTAAAAAAAAAAAAAAAAGAATAATGATTGACTCTGACAACATGTGAGCTATCTGATACACAGAAATGTTCCAGAAATGGTTCTGTGGTTAAGGCTCAGGTTCTAGAGTTCAGTCTCCATCCAGGGGCAGACATGCACAAACTCCATTTTCCTAAAGATCTCCCAGCTCCCTTTTGGGACCCCCCAGCAATTCTCCAAGTCCATCTCGGGACTCCCTGTTCACACTCATCTCAACATGGAGCTTTCCCAGGACTAAATGAACTGTGTCTGGGGATAAATTTGCTTTGCAGGAGCGGCTGGAGAACCCCCACTCTATGACGTGTATCGGGAGGGTGGGACAGTTTCCAGTGAAAGGTAGAAAGAAACAGGGACTTGGCAGACAGCACCAACAGGAGCCTCACCCCCAGTTTCAGCACTTTTCTCGTCTCCCTGTTATCACAGACACCCTGAGCACAGAAAGTGACGTGGGCCAGGATGAGGGATGCCAAGCCTGGTGCCGTGGGCGCCTCCAGCACTGGACAGGGCCCTGAGCAGCTACGAGAGTCACGTCTGCTGAGTAAGGACACTTTAGACGACTACCGTAGAGGGCATTAAAAATACTGTCATTAAGGCCTAACGTGTTCTGTCTGAAGTCTCAAGATGCTAGCACATACACTTTCTCCGTTCTAATGAACAAGGAAGAGGTTACAAGCTCTTACTGCCATTGGCCATTCTCAGGAAGGGTATGCAAAAAACAAAGCAGAGAAGAACTGGTAAAACACAGCCTCTCAGACAACAGTGGCAGATTTGGGTCAAAACTCCAGCTCGGAGAGATGCAGAATTTTATGCCATGAAAGGGAGGCTTTCTATTTCCAGATGAGCAAACGAAGGCACAGATCTGGGGCAAGAGTGTGGCAAGGTCCCACAGCCAACTTCCCCAGGCCTCCCTGGCTCCAGGGTCCACAGACCCTACGTGCCTGGCACGCCACACTCCCAGCTCTGCACAAGGCCACGCGGAGCCTGAGACAAGAGTTAGCACATCGGCTGGGGCGCCTGGGTGGCGCAGTCGGTTAAGCGTCCGACTTCAGCCAGGTCACCATCTTGAGGTCCGTGAGTTCGAGCCCTGCGTCAGGCTCTGGGCTGATGGCTCGGAGCCTGGAGCCTGTTTCAGATTCTGTGTCTCCCTCTCTCTCTGCCCCTCCCCCGTTCGTGTTCTGTCTCTCTCTGTCCCAAAAATAAATAAACGTTGAAAAAAAAAATTAAAAAAAAAAGAGTTAGCACATCGGTGAAACTACTTTTCCTCGGCCTCTTCTCAGTTTCCAGACAGACCAAAGAAAGCAATCCTGGTTTTGTTTTCCCCAAGCAGGAACTCTGCTCACTAGTTTCACTTTCCACTTTCAGTTTCTATCTCGGTTTCCAGTCTAAATTGTCAACAACACGCCCACAGGTTACGTCATGAACTGTTCATCTTTCTTATATTGCCCAGGATGTGGCTCACATCCTGAAACCCCAGTCTCCTGGCTGGATCTCAGAAGAGCCCACAGCTAAACAAGGCCCTGCAGAACCGGCAGCCATGAGGTAAGGACTTCTCCGCTTCTCCGCCTGTCAGTCTGAAGTTCTGGGAAAAAAGGCTAATCAATACTATCCCAAAAGACTTGATTTCAGTGATGTCGAGTTTCCTTACTCTTGCAGGTGAGCGTCTGCTTGGAGACTGAGTGTCCTTAATTCAGGCTTTTTCTTTTCTTTTTTTTTTTTTTTTTTTTTTTTTTTTTGTAGCATCACCCCGAGGAAGCTTACCTCATAACAAAGCCCAAAGAAGCAGAGGGATGTGGGAAAAGAGTTTTGCAGGGAGGGAGAAAATGATCCACGTCTCTGAAATTCTCTTCCCCAAACTCCCTTCTGTCTGACCGAGGGAGGGAATGGACAGTTTGTCTGGAAAGGGACACTGCTTTCTGCTGGCTCCTCACCTGGGGAAAAGGACCCCCACAGCCGTGTGAGCCACAGTCCTGGGCTCTCCCCAGATGTCTTGAGGAAAATACTGTGGGCAAATGGTGGCAGAAGCTCACTGTCTAGGGAACAAGGCCCTCCTCTGTAGACTACTGGTCTCACTCTCTGTGCTGCTGGGCTCCTATGTCAGGCCTTCTCAACGTCCCTGCATTTAAGATTAGCAGATGACCCTCTCCCCTGGGGAAGCCTCTGGTCTGCAGATACCCTCCTATCGGTGGGGCTGGACTGCAATTGTGGCCTCATGTGGGAATTTCTATGCTGTCCAAACTGAATCTTGAGTTAAGTAACCCTTAATATCCACAGATTTTTAAAAAATTAATTGATGTTGACTTGCAAATTTCCCCTCGGTGCTCCAGTGGGCAAAATTTTCAAGGGGCAAAAGTTCCAGAAAGTGCATAATTACAGGCCTATGATCAACCCTCCTCCCGGGTCCATTGACAGAGGGGGTTGTCACTGACAGGGAAAATAATAATGATAATAAAGTAGCTATCGCTTCCTGAATGCTTATAAAGTGCCAGCCTGGCTTCTAAAATTATTATGTAAATTATGGGGCACCTGGGTGGTTCAGTCAGTTAAGCATCCCACTCTTGGTTTTGGCTCAGGTCATGATCTCACAGCTTGGTGGGTTTGAGTCCCACATCAGGCTCTGTGCTGACAATGCGAAGCCTGCTTGGGATTCTCTCCCCAACCCCCTCACTCTCTGCCCCTCCACCACTTGTGCTGTCTCTGTGTCTCTCAAAATAAAGAAACTTTAAACAATTTAAATTATGATGTAAATTATATTTAATTATTTAAAAAACCCTCAAAAGACACCTGCGAAGCAGGTACTCATATCACCCTGATTTTGCAATAATGAATCTTAGATTTAGAAACATTAAGATCACACAGATAGTAAGTGATAGAGCTAGGACATGAGCCAGAGTCTCTATTCAGTGATACCCAATTTGACCTCTACACCCATGCTTCTTAAAGTGTACCAGTGGAAGGTTTGTGAGACTATTTCAGATGGCACTCCAATTGGTGTTTATGTTTTAATGTTTTGTTTATTTCAACATGTACTAACGAAAAATACATACATCATTTGAAGAATTTCTGTTCAGGTTACTAGTACAATGTTTCATTGTGATAAGATACATGTATGATAAAATTAGCCATTTTAACTATTTTTTGAGTATGCAATTTTGTGGTATTTAGTGCATTCACAGTGATGTCCACCCATCACCAGTATCCACTTCAAGAACATCTTCCTCACCTGAGGGGAAATCCCGTACCCCTTAAGCAGTCACTCTCCACTCATCCTTCGCCCCAGGCCCTGGCAACCATTAATCTGCTTTCTCTCTATGTCTTTGCCCCCTGTGGATATTTCTTTTTTTTTTTTTTTTAAAATTTAAAATTTTTTACTTTTTCTTTTTTTGGGGTGGGGGGGAGAGCATGGGGGGAGGAGCCGAGAGAGAGAGGGAGACACAGAATCCAAAGCAGACTCCAGGCTCTGAGCTGTCAGCACAGAGCCCTATGCCGGGCTCGAACCCGCGAACAGGGAGATCATGACCTGAGCAGAAGTCAGATGCTTAACTCACTGAGGCACCCAGGCACCCCCCCCCCATTGTGGATATTTCACAAACAAAGAAGCATACAATAAGTGGCTCTTTGTGACTGCCTTATTTCACTTAGCACAATGTCTTCAAGGTTTACCCATGTTGTAGCAGGTGACAGAATATCCTTCCCTTTTAAGGCTGAATAATACACCACTGTATGTATTTACCACTTGGTTTAGCGGTTCATCCGTCTATGGACATTTAGGATGCTTCCACCTTTTGACTATTGTGAACAATGCCTGCTAGGAATAGAAGTATGCAAATCGTCTGTTTGAGTCTCTGCTTTTACTTATTTTGGGTACATACCCAGAAGTGATACTGCTGAATCACATGGCCGTTCTGTTTCATTTTCTGAGGAATCATCACCATTTTCCACAGCAACTGTCCCATTTTACATTCCCACTGGTAATTCCTCCACATCCTCGCCAACACGTGGTTTTTGTTTTCTGTTTTGTTGAGGGTAGCCATCCCAACGGGTGTGAAGTGGTGTCTTGTGTTTTCGATTTGCATCTCACTAATGATGGGCGATGTTGAGCATCTTTTCATGTGCTTCCTGGCCATCTGTGTGTCTTCTTTGGAGAAATATCTGTTTTAAGTCCTTTGGCCATTTTGTAGTCACCTGTTTTGTTGTTGTTGTTGAGTCATGAGAGTTGTTGATATAGTCTGGATATTAATCTCTTATCAGATATGTGATTTGCACATAATCTCTCCCATTTTAGGAGTTGCCTTTTCATTCTGTCAGTAGTGCCCTTTGATGCAGAAACGTTTCTAATTTTGACGAAAATCCAACTTACCTCTGTTTACTTATGTTGCCTATGCTTTCAGTGTCCTATCCAAGACTGCCAAATCCAATGTCATAAAGTTTTTTCCTATTTTCTTCTAAGATTTTTGTAATTTTGATCCATCTTGAGTTCATTTTTTTATATGTATACAGTGTAAGATAAGGGCCCACTTTCATTCTTTTGCAAGTGGATATCCAGCTCTGCTGGCACCATTTGTTGCAACATGTTTCCCCATTAAATGGTCTTGGTACGTGTTTCAAAACTCATTTGGCCATTGTTATGACCATTGTTATGGCCATGTTATGGAACTGTGAACCCCTACCATCTCCCCAGGTTTATATGTTGAAGCCCGGGCCCCCAGTGTGACTGTATCTAGAGATAGGGCCTGTAAGGAAGTACTAAGGGTTAAATAAGGCCATAAGGGTGGGCCCTTAATCTGAAAGGGCTGATATCCTTGACAGAAGAAGTGCATGTAGACGAAAGGTCACATGTGGACTCCAGTAACAGAGCCCTTCTCAGGAAACAAATCAGTGGGCACCTTGATTTGGGACTCCCAGCCTCCAAAACTGGGAGAAAAGAAATATCTGCAATATCTGTTGGTTAAGCCACCCTGTCTGTGGTACCTCATCATGATAGCCTGAAATGACCATGGCAACCATATATGTAAGTGTTTATTTCTGGGCCCTCCATTTTGTTCCACTGCTCTAGGTGTCTGTTTTTATGCCCATCCCACACTGTTTTGATTGGGGTAGCTTTGTAGTAAGTTTTGAAATCCGAAAGTGTGAGACCTCCAATTTTGTTCTTTTTCAAGTTCATTTTGGTTATTCGAGATCTCTTGAGATTCCATATGAATTTTAGGATGGATTTTTCTATTTCTGTAAAAAACATGTCATTGGGATTTTGATAGGGATTGCACTGAATCTGTAGATTGCTTTCGGTGGTACTGACATCTGAACAACATTAAAGCTTCCAGGCTGTGAACACAGGATGCCTCTTCCTTTCTTTGTGTCTTCTTAATTTCTTTCAGCAATCTTTTGTAATTTTCAGTGGACAAGTCTTTCGCCTCTTTGGTTGACTTTATTCCTAAGTATTTGATTCTTTATGATACTATTGAAAAAGGACTGTTTTCTTTTTTTTTAATTTTTAATTGTTTTATTTTATTTTTGAGAGAAAGAGAAACAGAGTATGAGAGGGAGAAGGGCAGAGAGAGAGGGAGACACAGAATCCAAAGCAGGCTCCAGGCTGTCAGCACAGAGCCTGACGCGGGGCCTGAACCCATGAACCATGAGATTGTGACCTGAGCCGGAGTCAGACACTCAACTGACTGAGTCACCCAGGCACCCCAGGAAAGGAACTTTCAACCCAAAATCCTATGCCCCACAAAAATATCCTTCTAGAATGAAGATTAAATCAAGACGTTCTCAGATGAGGTGCGTCTTGCCGGCTCAGTCAGTGGGGTGTGTGACTTTTCACCTCAGGGTTGGGAGTTCTAGCCCCACACTGGGTATAGAGATTACTTAAAAAGAAAATCTTTTAAAGTGAAAGTGAAAAAGGTGAGTAAAAAAAAAGGCAGTCTCAAAATGCTGTATAACTCCATCATATGACATTCTCGAAGTGACAGAGTGATAGAGATGAAACAAATTACCAGAGGCTAGGGATGTTTGGAGAGTGGGGAGCGAACAGGTGTCACTGAAGGGACAGTGTGTGGGAGATATTTGCGATGATAAAATAGTTCTGTATCTTGATTGGGTGCGTGGATTTACTCACGTGATGAAACGACACAGGACTTACACACATTGTACCAATGTTGGTGTCTTCATTTTGTTATTGTATGGTACTTGTGTAAGGTATTGGAAGAAACCAGGCGAAGGGTACACTGGAGCTCCGTACTCTCTTTGCAAATTTCAGTGATTCTCTAATTATTTCCAAATTATAAGTGGAAAAAAAAATTGGTCGAACAAATATTCTCTTTCAGGTGGTCTAAATTTGTGGCATAACCTACAGACTAAGGTCCTGAAGTGAATACTGTTTTATAAGCCTCTACGTTTCTTTCTTTTTTCTTTCTTTTTTTTTTTCTTTCTTTTGAGAGAGAGTGTGTAAGCGGGGGAGGCACAGAGAGGGGGACAGAGGATCGAAAGCAGGCTCTGCGCCGACAGCAGCAAGCTCAATTCAGGACTCAAACTCACAAACTGCGAGATCATGACCTGAGCCAAAGTCGGATGCTCAACCGACTGAGCCACCCAGGCTCTATGTTTCTAACTGGTTTCTGTCCTGAATGTAGGAATAGGAAAATAGGAAACTCTCATTATAGCATGTAATATGTGCTCTAAGTACTTAACACACATACAGGCTTATTAATTTTCACCCAACTTCAGACTCAAGTGTGCTGAGTCTATTCCTATCCCCATTTTGCAAACGAGACTCTGAAACAGAGAGAGGTTACTTGGTAAAAAGTGGCGGAGCCAGTGTCTGAGACCAAGCAAACTGCATTCAAAGTCTGTGCGGATCTTAGGAACGTAGGGATTCTAAGGAAAATCAAAGCAGGCGTGCCCTTTCCAAGGCTAAGTCCTAAAGATGAGCTGTTTTATCTGGCTTCTTTCTATCGACGGTTCCTCCCTTAACAAAGAAAACTTGTTTTTCTCTTTTGCAGTAAGAACGCTGATGAGGTCAAAGATAAGCTGCTTCAGCTGAGATGCCACTTCACCTGGGAGCTGCTAGTTGAAGACACTGAGATGCCCGATTTAGAGAACAGGATCTTGGATGAGATTGAGTTCCTAGACACCAAATACAACGCGGGCATACACAACCTGCTGGCCTACGTCCGACACCTGAAAGGCCAGACTCGGGAGGCCCTGGGGAGCCTGAAGGAAGCCGAAGACCTGATCCAGCAGGAACACGGCGACCGATCGGCTGTGAGAAGCCTGGTCACCTGGGGCAACTACGCCTGGCTGTATCACCACATGGGCAGGCTGGCGGAGGCCCAGACTTACCTGCACAGGGTGGCGAACACTTGTGAGAAGTTTGCAGCCCCCTCCTGCTACAGGCTGGAGTGTCCTCAGATGGACTGTGAGGAAGGGTGGGCCTTGCTGAAGTGTGGAGGAAAGAACTACGAGCGGGCCAAGGCCTGCTTCGAAAAGGCTCTGGCAGCGGAGCCTGAGAACCCTGAATTCAGCACTGGGTATGCCATCACCATCTATCGCCTGGACGGCTTCAACAAAGCGACCCAGGTCAGCGACGCATTTTGTCTGCAGCCTCTAAAAGAGGCCATCAGGCTAAACCCAGAAGACGCGTATATCAAGGCTCTGCTCGCCCTGAAGCTTCAGGACGTGGGCCAAGAAGCCGAAGGAGAAAAGTACGTCGAAGAGGCACTGACCAACATGTCCTCGCAGACCTACGTCTTTCGATACGCGGCCAAGTTTTACCGCAGGAAAGGCGCTCTGGATAAAGCTCTTCAGCTCTTAAAGAGGGCCCTGCGGGCCACGCCCTCCTCCGCTTTCCTGCATCACCAGATGGGGCTTTGTTACAAGGCACGCATGATCCAAATCAAGAGAGCGGCAAACTGGCAGCCCAGAGGACAGGATAGAGACAATGTCGACCAAATGGTAAGGTTAGCCATAGCTCACTTTCAATTTGCTCTGGAACAAAAGCCCACATTTGACGTTGCTTATATACACCTGGCCGGTATGTACATAGAAGCTGGCAACCACAGAAAAGCTGAAGACATTTACCAAAAATTGCTATGTTTGACGTCCCTCGACGAAGAGAAACAGCAAAAGGTACATTTCCACTATGGTCAATTTCAGGAATTTCAAAAGAAATCTGAAGTCAATGCAATTATCCATTATTTAAAAGCACTAACAACAGAAAAGGTGTCACTGACAAGAGATAAATGTATTAATTCTTTGGAGAAACTGACTTTAAGAAGACTTTCCAGAAATGCATCAGACGTAGAAAGCTTGAGCATTCTTGGGTTTATCTACAAAGTCAAAGGCGAAATGAATAAAGCCCTGGAGTACTATGAGCAGGCCCTGCGGCTGGCTGTGGACTCTGGGAACTCTGGTACCTGATCCTGGGTGTGGAAATATGAACCACATTCACATTTTATTTGATTTTAGGTAAACATGTTAACTCTAACCATTGTTTCTGCTTGCTACTTTCAGAAACATATTAAGCAATCCACTGCAGTGATGCAAGTTTTTAACCATTACCCAAACCTGGTAAAATATTGGTTCTATTCAGAAAATACTGAAACAGAATATATACATCTCTGTTATGTGAGAGAGGAACCATTTCTCTGTGAATGTTATATAGTCGAAAAACCATTTGTCGAGTAGATTCGTAGCAAATAAAAGCCTGGATTTACATAAAACAAAAATGTTTCATTCATTCATTTTATCAACAAATAGTTTTTGGTGTTAGATACCAAATATGGTGATGTAGCGGAGGAAAAAATCTTTTTACGCTACCCATTTTAGGTTCATTGGCCAGGACTCCATAATTAGAATGACAAGCACAGATTAACAAGAGATAAACAAACAGAGATTTATGAATACATGCACCGCACACACACAGGGGAGCACCCAGTGATGAGTAACTCAAAAGGGTGGCTAGAACATAGCATCCTGGCAAACGAACAATGCATTTTTAGAGAAGGGATAAGCAATTTTAGAGAAGGGAAAAGAACCTTGAGTTTCTAGGGTGACAAACTGTAGGAATGTAAATATTTGGGGGAGATTAATGGAAAACAAGGGCTAGTTGAGAAGGTTTGTTATGGGGGCCTGGGTGGCTCAGTTAGTTGAGCGTCCAACTTCGGCTCAGGTCATGATCTCACAGTTGGTGAGTTCGAGCCCTGCATCAGGCTCTGTGCTGACAGCTCAGAGCCCCAAGCCTGCTTCGGATTCTGTGTCTCCCTCTCTCTCTGTCCCTCACCTGCTCACTCTCTCCCTCTCTCAAAAATAAATAAAGATTTTTAAAAATTAGGAAAAAAAAAAAAAGAAGAAGGTTTGTTATGTAGATTCCTCCAGCAGTGACTCTGGGCTGATAAGGGTCTACACTTGTCTCAGGCAATCAACTTCTCACCTTCCTGGTGGAGAGGGTAAGGGGACACCACTACAAAGTTCTGTACTGCTTGTAGGCAGGTAGGGGGAGTGTGCAGAGCATTTCTTGTACCCTGCTTCTTCTCAACTGCCCTCAGTTCAAAATAATCCCTACACCAACATGGCATATTTTGGGGCGGCATACTCTGCTCCCCTTCAGCAAAGAAAGCAGACGTCTCCCCAAACCTCCTGAAGTTTACGATCTAGTGAGTAACAAGTACACAGTCAATTACTCGTTTGCTGTTTGCTGTTTATTGTTCCAAAGCAGTTTCTCTTCTTTCATGCCACATGTAGCACTGTTTATTCAGTCATTTTCTGGTATTGATTGATCAAAAACACAGGAAAAGGATGCTAAATGATCTGAGAGACCATCAGTAACAACCACCTTTGTGACATTTTATTAAAAGGGGTTGCACACCAAGCAATATTTTTAAAAGGAAGAAATAAGGAAACAATGTGTCTTTTCTCATCCAATAGTTTTAAAAGGAAGAGATAAGGAAACAGTGTGACTGCTTTTTTCATCCATGTATTTTTTTAGGGGGAGGATATATTAATTTCCCACTGTGGCTGTTAACAAATTACCACAAACTTAGTGGCTTAAAACCGCAAAAACTTATGATCTTACAGTTCTGAAGGTCAGAAATCTGAAATGGGTGTCACTGGATGGAAATCCAGTGGCAACGGCCACAGAGGTATTGGCAACTGTCTCCAGAGGTCCTAGGGGACAATTCTTTTTTGTACCTTTTCCAACTACTAGAGGCTGCCTGCATTTCTTGGGGGGGGATCCATAATCCACAAGAACACAAATCCTCAAGGAATTCATACACAGATTGCAAAAGCCTTTTGATTTCTACTAAAATTCGTTAGGAATCGAAGGGAGCAAACTTCATCATTGAAGGCTAGACATCAGAGCCACACAGATCCGATCTTCTCAACATACTTGTAACTAAAACAAAAGACTTGTTAGATTTAACAAAAATGGTATCTTACAGTGCTTGAGTTTGGGGAGGAGGCCCAAAGTGACACTTTGGCACTAAAGTGAGTCTAACCACTGGGAACTCTTCCAGAGAGAGAAACAGGAAAGGTAAATACTGGTCGGATGACTGGTTAATCTACTAGGCAGCTCTTCCCAGGTATTGCTATACATCACTTGCAGCCGGAAAGCAGAGCTCATTCATGCAACATAAATCTCTGGATTATGGATGTGTTTGTGTGAGGGGTGCCTGACGACCCAGAGGCCACAGTCATCAGAGTGTCTTATAATCTAACACCATCTCTCTATCCCCTCGCGTCCCCTCCTCTGGAAGAGGTGTCTGCACGCTGGGGGCTCGGAAGCTCTAATGTGTGGAACAGCCTGCACGCTTGCAGGGCAAAACAGCAAGCAGCAAATCCAGAAAAACTGACTTACATGTATTTCTTAAAAGCATTACTTAATTTTCGGTTTCCCAAGAAGATTTTAGAGCAATTGCCATGTTTCACTTTCTGTTTCCCTTTGTTGCTAGTTGCTGCGTCCTGCATGTTGACTAGAGTACGCTCAAAAGACGACACACTACTGGTTTCACCAAGAATCCACCCAATCCAACAGCCTGTGAAAAAAGATCAATGTTCAAATTCCATCTAGTAATTCTGCCACGTTCAACACCCGCTCAACAGCCAGACGTTTGTTTCTTCTCAATCCTGAAAATGTATATTCCTTTAAATTTCTCACAGATGGTTTTTGCCTTTCTGAATTTGAATTCCTAAACAATATAAGTCGATAGGCAGGATTTCCTTTCCCTTTAATGTTCACTTCTGTTTGCTTAGTTGCTATCGGTCTAAACCTTAATAAGCAAAGACGACCTTTTGGCCTGGATATGGATAAGAGAAAGGAAGGGAGAGAAGCAGGAACAAGGAAGGAAACATAATCCACGCACTGAAAACTTTTTCAAACACTGGAGCGCCATTAAATTCTTCTACATCCTTGGTGAGGAGGGTATTCTGGCTTTATTCTTCCACCCACAGCAAACTGTTCGGTACCTTTTCTAAAATGCAGCTTCCTTGAGGTACCTGGGTGGCTCAGTCAGTTGACTGTCACTCTGTCTCGGCTCAGGTCATGATCTCACTGATCGTGGGATCGAACCCCACTTGGGATTCTCTGTCTGCCTCTCTCACTCTTTCTCTCAAAATAAATAAACATTTTTAAAAAACAAAATAAGGGATGCCTGGGTGGCTCGGTTAAGTGTCAGACTCTTGATTTCGGTTCAGGTCATGATCTCAGGGTTCGTGAGATCAAGCTCCACATCACTCTCCGTGTTGACAGCACAGAGCCTGCTTGAGATTCTCTTTCTCACTCTGTCCCTCCCCTGCTCGCTCTCACTCTCTCTCTCAAAAATACATACACACATACGTCCATAATAAATAAAATTAAAAAAAATAAAATGCAGCTTCCTGCCTAAGTTAAACATTACAGTAGCCTTCAGGCCCATGCCATTCTGCCTCTGATCTCATTTCTTAAGACCTCCCCCCTACCCTTACTGCTCCAGCCACACCATCCATTCATGGCAAATATGTTCCCACCTCCCTGGGGTTTGTACCTACTGCTTCCCCTGCCTGAACCATTCTTCCCTGGCCCCATAACCACTCTCTCCTTCACCTGCTTCAGATCTTTACTCAAATGTCACTAACCCAGTGAAATCTTTCTTCCCCACCATATTTATAACGGTGAAACGCCCTGCACTGTAACCCTCTCCATGCTTTTTCTCCATAGCACCATCTCACACACAATACTTCATTTGTTCTTTATTATCTTTATCTCCCACACTAGGAATGAAGTACGCGAAGGTAGATCCTTTGTCTGTTTTTTTCATTGCTGCATTGCCTGTGTCTTGGACAACATCTGCCTCTTAGCAGTTGTTCAATGCAGTTCACTGAATCCACGAAAGAATGACTGAAGTCGCAGGCGGACAAAAATTTTAGTGTGTGGGTGTTTGGCATTTTCGGCTCAGATTCCCGATACCCCCTGATCTTTATTAGAAGTTGTTAGGCGAAGCACGGTTGGCAAGGGCACAGAAGGCAAGCACTGTCCTACAACTCCAGGGAGGGGTGTATAAATCTCTCCGCAAAGTTATTAAGCAATAGCTATCAAATTTTAAAATGTGTATGCATTTTGACTCCCAAGTTTCTCTAACTTTACCCAATGGGTAGTGCACCTGTGTTGTTTGTTGAATCAAGACGAGAAGCAGAGACTTCTTTCCGCTTAGGATGCAGAAAGACGAAAAGAGCATCGCTGCTACCCTTGCAACAGAAATAACGCGGACCAATCTCCTGTCACTTTATTTAAAAAGGGGGGGGGGGGTGAGGGGACACAAGGACTCGGCAAGGCAGGCGAGAGCCCAGACCAAAGCCAGAGGCCCCGCTGCAAATACCACACCGAACCGCCCGGAGCCTCGCAAACCTCTCCCCGGCCCCACTCAGCTCTTGCAGAAGTTTCCGTTTCTTGGAGCTGGACTCCGCCGGGTCGGGAAGCTGAGACACCATCTACGTTCCATTTCCCATTCGGATGCCGCCTTTGCAAAAGCCAACTCCTAGCCTCAGAGAGCGCGCAGCTGACGCCCGGAGGGAAGCGCACTCCCGCGCCGCCGGCACTTCCGCGCTCCCGTCCGCGCGCACTCCGCGCCCTCCCGCCTGCACGCGCACACGCACCCGCGCACTCCACGCTCCCCCGTCCGCACGCCCGCGCCCCCGCGCACTCCGCGCCCTCTCGCCCGCACTCCCGCGCCTGCCGGCGCACAGGAGCGCGCGCTCCGCAGCCGGGGCTCCACTTCTAGAGCAGAAAGCCCGAGGGGACTGCCGCCTGCCGGGACGGTCCGCAACCACCACGAGGTGAGGGTTTTCTCCGCTTCTGCTCCCAAACTCCGCGTAGGCCTTGGACTCCGTGGCCCGCGCAGCGCCGGGGCCCTTCCAGGAGCCGAGCCCCCGGCGCCCCGCACGGGCGTCGGGTTTAGGTTGCCCCCGCGAGCCCGGTCCCCGCCGAGGGAAGGGCAGCCCCAGTCCCGGGACGGGGAGGGGAGCCGGCGGACGCGACTCGTCACCGGGTCTGCTGCTTCTGCCCTGGTGCCTTTCTGACCTCGGGGTCTGAGTTCTTCCCTTCCCGGGAGCCACCGACTCCTGCTGGTCCGCCCAGTCGGCTATTTGCCGCGGATGCCTGAGGCTGTCTCCTTTACCAGCTGACGCGCGGGGCAGGGTGCTTCTCACCCGCTTTGGATCCCCAGGCTCCCGCAGCCTGCCCTGCGCCCGATCGGTGAACCTCCGCATTTAAATGAGTTGAGGGACGGGAGGCTAAAACCTTGTTCTAAGTCGTGACTCTGAACACCTCCTCGTTGGATGCCCAGAACATTTTGTAAACTCTGAGTCCGTTTCTTATTCGTAAAACTTAATGGCACCCAATCTTAGGACCGCGGAAAGAGTTCATTGCTTAGCATGAAGAGTTTTGCAAGTGTTGATTATTATTACGTGAAGTAGAAAAGGAAATTGAATAAGCGCCCCACTTCCAACAAGTTGAAGAAGGGAGGGAGTTCGGGGGGGGGGTGTGCCAGAAGAAACAAGAAGGAAAAGGGGGTGCACTGTATGTGCAACAGGAGTGGACCCCACTGGGGACAACGAAAGACTGCTCCTTCCTGGCTAAAACTCAAAATTGCCTAAAGATAAATGTCGCCTCTTCAGACACAGGAGCCTCTCTCTGCCAGCTTCCCAGAGACAAAGTTTAAAGGTTAAGTAGACTGGGTTTAAAAGTAAAACTTATCATGGTATCCAGTTGTGTATAAATTCCACCGAGTCTGAGCGAAGCACTTCAGTGGCTGAGTGAACGTCCCTTTGAGATGTCACTGTCACGGCCACATTCCTATTGCCCGAGGCGGTCTCCTCAGCCTCCTTGGGCTGGGCCGGTGTGTAAATCTCTGAAGCAGAAGCGGATGTGCATTTCACTCTGCCCACGGGCAGGGGCCTGGTAAGCCCAGATCGCCATGGGTCTGGACAGGCTGTTAAGGGGAGGTCTTGCCCAAAATTTTGGTGACGTTGCACCAGAGAAAGGAACAACTAACTACCGAGGGATGATCATACCAGGTTTCCCAGCCAGGACCGTAAAAGACAGCCCAAACCCTGTATTCAAAATCCAAGCACAGAGCCAGACAGAGCGCATGCCAAGACACAAAGACAAGTGGGGTGGGGAGAATTGAAGTGGGGGGTGGGAGGTAGTTTGGAGCCATCAGCAAGAAGGGAGGGACTAGCAGGAACTCCTCATCAGGTATCCAGGTGCTTCTGATGCTAAGCCCAACCTCTGGGCTGGACACGTCAGAAGCTGCTAGTATGTGACTACACTGTCATTCATTCAACAAATATTTAGTGAGCTTCCATTATCTGCCTGGAATAATAACTAGATGCTGGGACACAGAGGTGCAAAAAGTAGGATCAAAACAAGGTCCCTAGGGGCGCCTGGGTGGCGCAGTCGGTTAAGCGTCCGACTTCAGCCAGGTCACGATCTCGCGGTCCGTGAGTTCGAGCCCCGCGTCGGGCTCTGGGCTGATGGCTCAGAGCCTGGACCCTGTTTCTGATTCTGTGTCTCCCTCTCTCTCTCTGCCCCTCCCCCATTCATGCTCTGTCTCTCTCTGTCCCAAAAAATAAATAAACGTTAAAAAAAAAATTAGAAAAAAAAAAAACAAAAAACAAGGTCCCTATTTTCATAGGGCTTTTATTTAAATGGGGGAAATACACGTACAATAGATAAATGAGTAAGTAATATAATTCAGAAAGTGAACAGAGCTGTAAGGAAAATAAGTGTAATGGGCTAAGAGAGTGACCTAGAACAGAGGGGGCTATTTTAGACGGTTCTGCCTCAGGCACCCTCTGGGGTAGGGAATATTTGAGCAGAGTTACAGGAAAGAGCTAGGCATGCAAAGATTTAGAAGCAGAGCATCCCGAGTAAAAACAACAGGTATAAAAGTCCTTGAACTTGATGTGCTCGAGATAGGAAGAAAAGTCAAAATGTCTAAAATGACAGTGAATGTGGAGGACAGTAGGAGGGAAAAGGTCGGATGGGTAGGCAAGGCCAGGTCCTTTAGGGACTTGTAGGACCTGGCAAGGGCTGGATTAATATCTAAGGGTGTTGGGTAGCCATTGGGAGATTGTAAGTGGGAGACTTACATTTTCAAAAATATACTAGGGCTGTATTGGGGAATCAAGACCAGAAGGAAGCAGGGAGACCAGATTTTTGCCCCAGCTCAAAGGAGAGGTGATTGTGGTTCAGAGGAGGAAAACAGCAGTGGAAGTGGAGAGAAGTGGATGGATTTGAGATGCGACAGAATTAACAGAACTTCGTACTGGAATGGATGAGGGGTTGGGAGAGGAGGAATAGAGGGATCAAAGATTACTCCTAGGTTATTTGGCCTGTGGAACTAAGAGGTGCCAAGCAAGATGGGGAAGACAGGAGGTACAGGATCAAGGCGCCCAGGTTTCTGTATTGCATGTGTGTATTTGAGATGCCAACTGAACTTCTTTTTTTTTTTTATGTTGATTTATTTTTTGAGAGAGAGAGACAGAGAGAAGCAGAACATGAGTGGGGGAGGGGCAGAGAGAGAGGAGATACAGAATCCGAAGCAGGCTCCAGGCTCTGAGCTGACAGCACAGAGCCCCACGCCGGGCTCAAACTCACCAACTGCGAGATTATGACCTGAGCCCAAGTCGGCCACCCAACTGACCGAGCCACCCAGGTGCCCCAAGGTGAATTTTAAATACATTGCATGTATCCTATATTTTAAAGCAAACTATTCTGGAGCGCCTAGGTGGCTCAGTCGGTTAAGCGTCCGACTTCGGCTCAGGTCATGATCTCTCAGTCTGTGAGTTCGAGCCCCGCGTCGGGCTCTGTGCTGATAGCTCAGAGCCTGGAGCCTGTTTCAGATTCTGTGTCTCCCTCTCTCTGACCCTCCCCCATTCATGCTCTGTCTCTCTCTGTCTCAAAAATAAATAAACGTTAAAAAAAAAATTTAAAAAAATAAATAAAAAATAAAGCAAACTATTCTGAAAAAAAAAAAAAAAAACCACCTCCAATTTTTATGGTAAAAAGAGGTAGTTTAACAGTATTGAGCTTTGAGTCAGGCAGAGCTAGGTTTGATTCTGAGCTCAGCCACGTTAGACCTGAGTAACCTCGGACATGTAATATAAACTCTGTCCCCTACTCCTCATCCACAAAACTGTGAAAATAATAAAATTGCATAAAAATTAAATGTAATTTGTAAGTGCCTGGCGCACTGCCTGGCGTGCAGTAAGCTAGTGATGCATGGCAACTTCAGGTTTCCTTGTTTGTGGAGTTCTCCTCTGATTTCAGACAGTCTATTATAAATAGTGTAACATTTACACCATTGAGCCAAATCTGCAATGAGCCCAGCTCGTGTGTATAAGGTTGTTTTTTTCAAATCCATCTTTATTTGCCATCTAATTTAGTTCTTCACCTTGAATAAAATGGCAGAGAATTTTAAGTTAAAGGAGAGCTCTAACCTGGTGTGTGGGAGCTCTTTTATTCCCTTAAAGTCCGACAGGCCCAGTGTCTCCAGTGTCCTGTCTCACACAGGAGGCGCTGGTCATATACAGTTATTTAATTAAAAATAAATGAAATTTAAAATCCAGTTCCTCACGCATCCTAGCCACATTTCAAGTGATCATGGTCACTTGTGGCTAGTGTCCATCATATTGCAGAGCATGGATAAGAACATTTCCATCATGGCAAGAATTTCTGTGGGCAAGCTCTGGCTAGAACCTATAGTCACTAAAGTGTGGGACCTGTATATTGGTGTGTATGTATATACACGGAAAGTGAGAATAAGCATAAAAAAATATATATAAAATTGAAATTAATTGCAGATTAACTTAAATGTGTACTAAAGATAATATTAAGTCACTAAGGATTAAATTTAGTTTCTATAAAAGTTGGAAAACTGTTCATGGAATAGTATATTTGGTTGTAAATATGAAATGGTTTTATCTGTCCAATTACTACTACTCGTTGTGCCACTAATCCAGTTCTCGAACTCTTCTGTCACTTTTGGCTAATTAAGGCAGCCCCTTCACAATTCCTAAAGACTTGGTCGATTCACTGTAAAGCCTCAGTCTCTTTTTTGATTCAAAGCACTCTTCTCCTGCTATGCAGGACAGGAAAATGAGAAAATACTATACTGTAGGGTGACTGGCAAGGCAGGGGTGCAGTGTTAGCTAGAGTGGTCAGAGATACCCCTCTTGGAAGACCTCACATTTGAGCCAAGACCAGAATCATGAGAGTGAGTAATCCCTAGACCTCTCTTAGGAAGAGTTCAGAGACTGAGGGTGTAAAAAGCAGGTGCAAATGCCCTGAGGATACAGACCTGGCAGAGGAAAGAAACTTTTTTAAAGGCCAGTATGACTGGAGGGCAATGAAGGAGAGGAGATTGTACAAAATGAGGCTATAGAAGTAGACACAGGACAGATGAAGAAAGGCATGGCGACCGCGGTTAGGAGTCTGAGTCTGGAGATAAAGGTGTATTGACATTGTATAGCTTCACTTCTGCTTCATGTTCCATCTTTCTCGCAGTTATCCCCACCTCTCTCCTACAAGCGTCATTTTCTCCCTTGATACTGGATCATCCCCACGGGCATGTCATTAAGTCATTAAAAATTTCATGATTAAAAATGTTTTTGACAGTTCCGCCAACCCCCCTCCAGATGTAGCTCTATTTGTCTATTCCCTTAATAGTAAAATTCCTTGAAAGGAGTGACCTCTGTTGCCCGTATCCACTATTCCACCTCCCATTGTCCACCCCCTCCTGCCCAACTAGTAATGTTTTCATCCCTACCTTTTTAGTAAAATGCTCATCAGGGTCCCCCACAGCTTTGCTCCAGCCCAGTGATCTCTTCTCTGTCCTCAATCACTCAACTTCTTAGAGTCATTGTACATATCGAACATCCATCTCTCCTTCCTGAAATAAATATTTCTTCCTTAGGCTTCCATAATATCATGGATTTTTTTTCCTTTTTTCCTTTTCCCTTTTTTTAAATCTACTTCACCCATCCCCTCACCTACCTCCCCTCTGGCAACCACCAGTTTGTTCTCTGTATTTAAGAGTCTGGTTTTGGGGGGCACCTAGGTGGCTTAGTCAGTTGAGTGTCCACCGCTTGATATTGCCTTAGATCATGATCTCGCAGTCATGGGATTGAGGCCCACATCAGGCTTCATGCTGACTGGGGAGCCTGCTTGAGATTCTCTGTCTCCTTCTCTCTTTCCCCTTCCCCCACTCGTGCATGCGTTGCTCTCTCTGTCTCTCTCAAAATAAATAAACATTTTAAAAGAGAGTCTTTTTTTGTTCATTTGTTTCTTAAATTCCACATATGAGTGAAATCGTATGGTATTTGTCTGTCTCTGACTTATTTTACTTAGCATTATACTCTCTAGGTCCACGGCCATGTTGTTGCAAATGGCAAGATTGCATCCTTTTTTTATGGATGAGTGATATTCCATTGTATATGTATCCACATCTTCTTTATCCATTCATCTATCAATGGACACTTGGGCTGCTTCCATAATTTGGCTAATGTAAATGATGCTGTGATATATATGTATATATATATATTACATATTATATATATATATATTATATATATAAATTTATTGTTTTGTTTTTTGTTTTATCTTGTTTTTTAGTAGGCTCCATGCCCAGTGCAGAGCCCAACAGCCCAACACAGGGCCTGAACTCACAACCCTGAGATCAAGACCTGAGCTGAGATCAAGAGTTGGACGCTCAACAGACTGAACCACCAGGTGCCCCCAGAGGGACATCTTTTAGGCCTGTATCAAACATTATCATTTCCATACTTAAAAATCTCCCTGTAATGGCTTCCCACTAGAATTATTGTAAAATTAATATTCCTTGTCATGGACTGTAAGCCTGTACCTTCTGTTCCTGCTACTGCCATGCCTCACCTTCCACTTAACCCTTCTTCCTTCTGTCCCCTGAACACTCCAAGTCTGTTCCCACATCAGGGCCTTTGCACTTGCTGGTCCCTCAGCCCCAACCAGGGTTTCTCAACCTCAGCATGATTGACATTTTGGGCTGGATAATTCACAGTGACTGGGACCTACCCGTGCACTGCAGGATAGTTAGCAGCATCCCTGGTCTTGACCCACCCAGTGTGACAACCAGATTGTCTCCAGACATTACCAAATGTCTCCGGGGAGCAAAAGCACCCTGGTAGAGAAGCAGTGGCTTAGACCATTCTGCCCTCAGATCTTCTATGACTGCCTCTGTTCCACTGTTGGGATCTGATTATTTCAATTGCCCCTTTTTACAAGGGCTATTCCTTCACAATCATAACTAAAGTACCTCCCCCCGCCTCCAACCACCACCTCTTAATACCATTACTCTGATTATTTTTTTCTTTTTAACACTTATCACTATCTGGAATTATACTTTCCATTTGTTTCCATATTGATTTGTTTCCATGTTTCTTTTCTTTCACCTCCTTTTGTTCCCTCTTCTTCCAGAATGAAATTGCCATGAGGAAAGGGCCTTTTTCTAACTTACTCGCTCACTACTATATCTAGGATACAACTAGGATACTGCCTGGCCTGTGTGACATGAGGTGGTCAACAAATGTTTTGATGGAAATATTACTGTAGTTCCCATAAACATTTATACAAATAGGTTTATATTTTACATACAAGAGGGTGGGGATCCCGTGTGCAACAGAAACAGAAATACACACATGTAAGCAGGGAACTTCTCTGTTTGAGAGAAGATTTAAGGAATTTTTTTTTCTGCGAGTTTCTTAATTATGGCCAGTAGTAGATGTAGAATGTCTTTCTTGACTGTCTCACCACCACCATCAGCAAAACAAACAAGTAAAACTAGGAATATTACTCAGGATTTCATCAGTTGCAGACAGTAGAAACCTAATTCAAACCAGCTTAAACAAAGGAGAGAGAGCTATGTCTTTAAGTAAACAGAAGTTCAGGGGTAGACAGGGTGATCCAGGCAAGACTCTTTAGTCACTGGCATAAGCCGTCTGTCCTTCCTCCTGTCTGAGCTCTGCTTTCTGCTGTGTTAGATCCCTTCTCAGGTAGGCTGTCCCTAAGTCTGGAAAGATGGCCATTAGCAGCTCCAAGCTTATATTCTACCAGCTTACACCTTTCAGAAGGAAGAGACTTAGTTTCACTAAAATTATATATATATTAAAATATATATATGAACTAATATATATTAATATATATTTAAATTATATATTAATCATATATAAGTATTACAATTAATTATATAATTATAATTACATGTTGCATATATTAATTATACTGATTAATACTAATTATATATAATACTAATTTTATATATTATTATATTGTATTAATATTAATTACATATAATATTATATATTTAAGTTTATTTATCTATTATTGAGAGAGAAAGCGAGCACCAGCTGGCGAGGGCAGAGAGACAGGGAGACGCAGAATCCGAAGCAGGGTCCAGGCTCCGAGCTGTCAGCACAGAGCCCAACGTGGGGCTTGACCTCACCAACTGTGAGATCATGACCTGAAGTCAGATGCTTAACAGACTAAGCTACCTAGGCGCCCCTCAGCAAAATTATATTTTAACTGGACTACCTCTGAGTGAATCACTGGGACCAGGGAACGGCTGGAATATCTTGTGCCTTCCCAGATTGGAGTGAATGGTGGATGGCCCATCTCAAATCACATGGACTGAGAGTGGAGGGAGAGCATGTTCCAGAAAGGAAAACCAAGAGAAGGGATCCTCACCAAGCCAGAGCCACAGATGTCCACAGCACTGGACTGTGTGCACTTCCTGGGTCACTTTCACAGACCTTGGTTGGAATGCTAAGCTGTAACTGACCAGTGACTTATAACGTAAGTTCTCCATGAGCAGAGCTGTGTCTCACTCAGGGTTACATCCCCAGGGTTATTGATGAGATCTCGCACAGAGAAGGCTGTCCCTAATGAATAAGTATTTCCTAGCCCTTCCTTTCCTCTTCCTCTTCCTAGTTTCTGAGATCATGTTTCCAATGGGCTCTGCAGAGTTACACTGTGCGTTGTACGAAGGGAGCTCAGCAAATATTTATGAAGTGAATATTGAGGGAGCTGATGAGTTAATAATAGGTCTTAGTCTTTATTGTTGCCCACAACCCGAGAGGCCAGAAGGTTGTGGGATTTGACAGCAAAACCTACACATTACCCACGCTCCTTTTGTCCTTTCCCGATCTTTCTTTTTAAAAAAAAAATGTTTTTTAATGTTTATTTATTTTTGAGAGAGAGACAGAATGTGAGTGGGTTAGGGGCAAAGAGAGAGGGAGACACAGAATCTGAAGCAGGCTCCAGGCTCCAAGCTGTCAGCACAGAGCCCAACGCTGGGCTTGAACTCACAAGCTGTGAGATCATGACCTGAGCCAAAGTCGGAGGCTCAACCGACTGAGCCACCCAGGCGCCCCTCCCCATCTTTCTTGAACTCTCTGCTGCTCTCCTTGGTATCTATCTCAAATCATGCTTTCCTCATCTCTTGGTATACCTGTTCCTGTCTGTTTCTGGGCCCTTCTCTCCCTGGGGTTTCCCACCCCACCCCACCCCGCTCTCCCTCGCTTTCTTCCTTCCCCCTCAAAAATGATACATTGATATGGCTTCTGTGTCTCCTCCAGTGAACTTCTTTTTCTTATTTCTCACATATTCTTCTCTCCCTTCCTACTCATAATGCAGAAATGGAATTTTTATATTCGTTACTGTTTATAGATCTATTATTTTTAATTTTCAAGGCTGTTAGACAAAACATTTAAATTCCTCTCTGATTGATTGATTGATTTTGAGACAGAGACAGAACACGAGCAGGGGAGGGGCAGAGAGAGAAGGAGACACATAATTTGAAGCAGGCTCCAGGCTCTGGGCTGTCAGCACAGAGCCCAACACAGGGCTCAAATTTGTGAACCACAAGATCATGACCTGAGCCAAAGTCAGATGCTTAACCGACTGAGCCACCCAGGCGTCCCTAAATTTGTCTCTGTAGGGGCGCCTGAGTAGCTCAGTTGGTTGAGTGTCCAACTTCAGCTTAGTCATGATCTCATGATGTGTGAGTTTGGGCCCCAAGTCAGGCTCACTGCTGTCAGGGCAGAGCCTGCTTCAGATCCTCTGTCTGTTTCTGTCTCTGTCTCTGTCTCTCTGTCCCTCCCCCTCTTATGCTCTCTCTCTCTCTCTCAAAAATAAACATTTAAAAAATCATAATCATAATCATAAATTCCTCTCTGTAAAAATATGCCCAGTACTGACGTGTGGGTGGCTTAGTTGGTTACACATCCGACTCTTGATTTCAGCTCAGGTCATGAGTTTGAGCCCTGCGTTGGGCTCTGCACTAACAGTGCGGAGCCTGCTAGGGATTCTCTCTCCCCTCTCTCTCTGCTCTTCCCTGGCTCTTGCTCTCTCTCAAAAATAAAGTTAAAAAAAAAAAAAATAGGTGGTACCTGGGGGCTAGTGACTGCCAAAAGGAAATTGATACCCTGTGATGCAGAAAACCCTGCTGTCTTTCAGAACTGGCTTTGCAATGAGAATTTAATGAAATATTTCTAGAATGTAACTGGACCCAGAGGAAACCAATATAAAGTTACAGGGGCCCAGTGCTTCAACTATAAATTCCAGTAGAAGACTGGTTTGGTTGCTAAGCAGAGAACAGTGTTAGAGGTTTAAACAATGATTCAGTTCTTCAAAAATTTAAAAACGACTTTATCTTTGACAGTGAAATGCCTAAGGACCCCCTGAAGGCCATTCTGTTAGAGTTGGAATGTCACTTTACATGGAATTTACTTAAGGAAGACATTCTGTTTGATGTGGAAAATACAATCGGGCAGCAGCTTGAGTTTCTTACCACAGAATCCAGACTCACTCTTTACAACCTATTGGCCTATGTGAAACACCTAAAAGGGCAAAATGAAGATGCCCTGGCGTGCTTGGAACAAGCAGAAGACATAACCTGGAGAGAACACCCGGACAAAGAAGAAATACGGCGTCTGGTCACTTGGGGAAACTATGCCTGGGTGTACTATCACATGGACCAGCTTAAGGAGGCACAGAGGCATGTAGACAAGATAGGGGCTGTCTGCAAGAAACGGTCCAGTCCTTCTGACTACAAGTTGGAGAGTCCTGAGATTGAATGTGAAAAAGGGTGGGCATTCTTGAAATTTGGAGGAAAGTATTACCAGAAGGCTAAAGCGGCTTTTGAGAAGGCTCTGGAAGCGGAACCTGACAATCCAGAATTCAGCATTGGCTACGCCATCACGGTGTATCGGCTGGATGACGGTAACAGAGGAGGGCCTGCAAGGAGCTTGTCTCTGGGCCCGCTGAGGAAGGCTGTCACCCTGAACCCAGATAACGCCTACATGAAGGTTTTACTGGCGCTGAAGCTTCAAGATGTACATGCAGAAGCTGAAGGGGAAAGGCACATTGAAGAAATCCTGGACCAGATAGCTTCCCAACCTTACGTCCTTCGTTATGCAGCCAAATTCTACAGGAGAAAAAAATCCTGGGACGAAGCTCTTGGACTTTTGAAAAAGGGCTTGAAGGCGACGCCCACGTCCTCGTTCCTGCATCACCAGATGGGACTCTGCTATAGGGCACAAATGATCCAGATCAAGAAGGACACGTGCAACAGGCCTAAAGGGGAGGATAAACTGAGAGTCGACAGGCTTATTGCGATGGCTCTCTCTCATTTCAAAGCAGCTGTGGAACGAGACTCCACGTTTGCGTTTGCCTACACGGACCTGGCCAACATGTACGCTGAGGGAGGCCAGTATAGCAAGGCTGAAGACGTTTTCCAGAAAGCCCTTCACCTGGAGAACATAACTGATGATCACAGACATCAGATCCACTATTACTATGGCCGCTTTCAGGAATTTCACTGTAAATCAGAAAGTACTGCCATCCACCATTATGTAGAGGCCTTGAAGCTTAGAGACCGGTCACTCCTCCGGACCAAACTAACAAGTGCTCTGAAGAAATTGGCTGTCAAGATACTTAGTCACGATGCTTCAGATGTGCAGAGTTTATGTGCCCTGGGGTTTGTTTACAAGCTGGAGGGAGAAAAGAGGCAAGCTGCTGAGTTCTATGCTCGGGCCCAGGGGGTAGACCCAGAAAATGCAGAGTCCCTTGCTGCTCTCTGTGAGCTCAGACTTTGTATTTAAATACACACTCTAGGAAATTACTTTGAAGATTTTCTCCTCATTGTGGGTTCAAGTATTCTTGTTCATTGTTTTAATCTATTGTTAATTGTAGAGCCGATTTTTATTGAATGTTTACTGTGTAGCAGGCATCATGCTAAATATGAATCTTTCACTGTTTTTTTTTTCTAATGAAAATAGTGTAATCCATTTGGCAACAAAAACATTCCAGATGTTGTTACCTTTCAAAAATGGGAGGGCTGTTATGACTTTACACCTCGATCTCTGCTATTTATAATAATTTTCTGATAAATTTTTTGTCAAATTTCACATATTGCTCACTTATGCAACAAGCATAATCTTGCCGTAAGCCTTTGACCCCTAGGTCAAGAACGGACTTTCGGCAAAATGGAAAATTCTGTTAGTTAAGCTCTTAACTGTGTAGCTTGCCAAAGATGGATCCTATCCAGTTCTGACTCTGAGGAAGGTATTGAACCATGAGCCCGCTAGTCACTTAAAGAATCCTCTTTGTTGAAAGAAAAAGTTCTGAACAGTAAAAAGTCTGCTGTCTGTGATGACCTCAATGAAAGGAGAAAAAAACTAGAACAGGGGAAAAAAGATTTCTTTAAATACAGAATTTTAGGGACCCTTGAGAAATGAGAAGTATTCTCTTCCAAAATGCTCATTACGCAATTAGAAATAGTTGTGAGGAAAAAAGTGAACAATGGAAAATCCTTAGTCTCGAGTTTCTCCGGTCTTTTTTTTTTTTTAATTTTTTTTTTCAACGTTTATTTATTTTTGGGACAGAGAGAGACAGAGCATGAACGGGCGAGGGGCAGAGAGAGAGGGAGACACAGAATCGGAAACAGGCTCCAGGCTCTGAGCCATCAGCCCAGAGCCTGACGTGGGGCTCGAACTCACGGACCTGGCTGAAGTCGGACGCTTAACCGACTGCGCCACCCAGGTGCCCCTCTCCGGTCTTTCAACTGGAAAGTAAACCTTACCTAAATGGAATTAACTTCATTCCAACTAAAATTGCAGAAGTTTTATGTTAAAATCATTGCGCAGATTGAGGAATTATGGGAGAAATGATAATTAAATGGATGCACTAGATATCCCCATTCTACATCCATAGATTGCCAAGTTTTGGTGATTAAGTTTTGGGTCTGGGCTGGGTGGGGTCTTGTTCTCCCAGTTTCCAGCCTGTGGTTAACTGTTCAAGCATTCCAAAGTTACTTCTGTGTGGCTCTTTCTTTTGCCTGAAGTTTTCAGATTGACATGTTTTCCTGTAGATCGTGCAGGAGTAGTTAAGCCCTGCTTTCCGTTTGAATATCCACCTCGAAGGGTCTACTACTCAAGGACTCTGACCCCAGGGATGCTTTTTACAATGGGATGCTACTGAAAGTGGCTTCTTTTATGTTGTTTCTTTGATTATCATACACAATTGTATCTACCACCAGTGTTAGTGGAAAAGCGTGCGGTGCGATTTGATTCTCCATACTGCCACTGCCTTAAGACTGCCATGAATTTGTGTGTTATTTCTACTTGTTACTATTTTTATTTTTTTAATTAAACTTTCTGTTATGGTTTTGATGGGTTTGATTATTATAAAAGTGGTGAATTCTCACTGTAAAATTTCAAATAAACAGAAGCATATGAATTTACAAGTAAGAGCACTTCCCTCACTCTAACCCAGTTCCACACCCCCATGGTAACCTGTTAACAATTTAATATGTATCCTTCCAGATATTTTTCTATGCATATTCAGACACGCATCCATACTGCAGTGTATTTCGCGAATTAAATTTTTTTAAATGTTTGTTTTACTTAAGTCTCTACTGTGTTTATTTTGCTCATTTCATATGTTTATTCAGGAAGGAAGAACAGGGAAGGGAAGGATCTTTACTCAGGTATTTCAGAAACTCAGGACTGAAGTCCTAACCTGTCAGAAGAAGCATTTGTCACACTTTGCATCAAATATTTTGCAGCAAGTCATTTTCTCTCACTGGGAATAATGTTGTAATCAAGCTTATGTTCCCAAATAGGGACTCCACATGCAATTAAATACAATTATGATATCAAAATAACAGTAAGTATCTGTATTTAAATATTAGACTTTAATGTCTATTAAAGGACTTTAAAATTTACTAGATATTAGAACCTTGAAGAATTGGCTCACATGATTACAGAGGCCGAAGACCATAATCACGGGTCACTGTCCACAAGCTGCAGACCCAGGAGAGCCAATGCTGTGATTCCAGTCTGGGCCAAAGGCCTGAGAGCTGGAGGGACAATGCCATAGGCTGAGGTCCAAGTCTGAGGGCCCGAGAACCAGGAAGGCCGATGTACAGGCTCCAGTCTAAGGGGAGGAAAAGACACATGTCCAGCTCACACAGCCAGGCAGACAGAATTCACACTCCCTCTGCCTTCTTGTTGTACTCAGACCCTCACCAGACCGGGTGGTGCCCAGCCAACACTGGGGAAGACAGTCTGCTTTACCCCTGCCTCCTGAGTCAGATGCTGGTCACAGACACACCCAGAACTGACGTTAGACTCGAAGTCTGGGCCTCCCACAGCCCGGGCAGATTGACACACAAACTTAACCTGTAACTGCATCCCAGGGCGCGGTGCCTGGCAGGTGCACATCACAGTGACCGTGTCTATTTTCTCCACAGTGAGGCCAATGAGAATTCTCTGGAAAAAATCCTCCCACAGCTGAAATGCCATTTCACCTGGAACTTACTTAAAAAAGATGGTGTCTCGCGTGATCTAGAAGACAGAGTGTGTAACCAGATTGAATTCGTAAACGCTGAGTTCAAAGCTACAATGTACAACTTTTTGGCCTACATAAAACACTTAAATGGTCACAACGAGGCCGCCCTGGAGTGCCTACAGCAAGCTGAGGAGCTGGTCCAGTGAGAACACTCTGATCAAGCAGAAATCAGAAGGCTGGTCACCTGGGGAAACTATGCCTGGGTCTACTATCACCTGGGCAGACTCACAGATGCTCAGATCTATGTGGACAAGGTAAAACAAGTATTCGGGAAGCTTCCAAATCAGTACAGTACTGAGTGGCTGCTGGGTTCTTCAGTGACCAAAGCTGCCAGGGTCCTCTGCAGAGCAGGTCACTGGGAACTGTGGATGCCACCCCAGTGTGTTGACACTGGTGGCTCCCGCTCATCCTTGTTCCCAGCCATCTGCGTAGGTCCCAGCTTCCCAGGCTCTGGGTGGGGCACAACCAACGCAGGCCCTTTGCCCGGTGCCACAAAAGGGCTCAGAAACCCAGTGTTCACTTGGCTCTTCCTTTCCCAGCTGGAACCCTTTGTGGCTGGAAGTTGCCTCTTGGCACTGGGCAGCGCCAGCTGGCATTGGCAGGATCAGGGGCAGAAGGAAGCTGTCCTCCTTCTGTTTTTGAAGTTATTCTCAGGGTTTTTGTTCCACTGTTGCTGAAGTTTGTTAAGTGGACTCCTGAGCTCTCCCGGAGCTGTTTTGTTCATGGATAGGTGTCTTAATGTTGAGCTTAAATGGGGGAGGTGGCATCTCCTACCTCACCATCTTGGTGACATCACTCTCCAACAGAGTTTTGTGTTTCATTTTCAAATAACTCCTAATCAGCTACAAGACTGTCTGACTCATAACTGATTGATAAATATATTTAGAACTTGCTTATTTTTTTTTTCCATCTTACAACAGCCCCGTAAACTAGTTACTGCTGTCATTCACTTTTTAGTGAGGGAGAAACCAAGGATTTCAGTGGTCAAGTCACCTGTCTAGACTCACAAATGTGTTGAGCGGTAGAGACTGGCCGTGTATGCAGACCAGACTGACTCCAAAGTCCATGCTCTTCAACAGTGTTTCACTACACTGCTCCTATCGGACAGCCTTTAACAATCCTCCTCAGTCACATTCATGGGCCTTGTATCCTGGCATATGCAGCTGAGGAAGAGACCTTCTGGAAGCAAGGACCATAGAGTGTACTGCATATAGGGAGCTTTCCTTACAGAAAGTAACAAAGGCGATCCCAGCTCATCCTCTGCACCATGCCATTCCTCCTCCTCTCCCCACACCCTTCCCTCCACCTTGAAAACCATGGACATCTGGCACAGCCTATCCTCAAGGGCCTTTCTTTGAAGGCAAGTCCCCAGCAGGCTCAAAACTACACACATTAATACACCCACTTGAGAAGCATTTGGAGAAATCTTGAACCCTACCCACTGCAATCCAATTACAACTCTTTGTCCCTCTGACTACCAAATTCCACAGAACCCAAAGGGCACAAACTTCCTTTCCAGTTCTCTGTCTAGAACCAGGTCTCCCAAGGATAAGAGCTGGAGCCTCATGCCTCAGTCCCCTCTGGAGTCTGGAGACAACACGGAAGTGCACATGCACAGAGCCACGAGCTATGCCTTCCCTTCCCTGGGTCATCAGACATCATTATTTACAGTTCTGGACTCGGTGCCCATTAGCCTCTATGGCCCTTCCTTTAGAACTGCCCCAAACAATCTCTTCTCCCAGGAGGTGCTGTTTCTACAATCTCTAAGGAGAGGGTTTAGAAGTGGGCTTTAATTACAGCCTGTGTCTATACTGACATAAAACTACCACAAATAAATGTATATCACAAATATATCCATATCAATTATGATCATAAAATATTTAAGAAAAACTAAAAACAGAGGCCAACAATTTAAAAATGTCATATCCATGATCATCAAAACCTCTCAGAGTTAACTTTAAGTGCAAACTCTGACATTTTTATAAAGAGCATGATGCTTTGTGACTATCTCTTTACTGAATAGTACACAGTGAAGATCTTTATTAGTAAATATATTTTAACAATATAAAATTCCTCCCTTACGTCCATGATAATATAGCCAAGAGGTTTACATGCTCAAAGAAAGAAAAGATATAGGTATAAATAAGAAATGTGCAGTCTACATGAAGGAAACTATTGAACTTTAGTGCATAATAGTTTAACAGATTTTAGGTTTACCGCCCATATTGTAATGAATACATACTTGTGTGTAATTGTATTTGTATGTATTCCTAATTGAAATATAAAATTTAAACTATAAAAGTTCAAAAATCATGTTTCATAATTTTAATGTTGACAATGCATGACACCAGCTGCAGACAAAATTTACTTAAAAGTTTGAACTTACGAAATCTTGATCTCAATAATTTTTCTGTAGACAAATTTTAGAGGGCACTCCAAAAAAAATGAGAAGGGTATCATATTAATGTGGAATAATATATTATAAAATGAAAAAAGTCAGTATGTATAGTTCTCATTGTTGCTGTAAACAGAGATAAAAGATATTACAAAGAGCACATAAATCAAGAAACTATTGTACTACTCTTTTATGACCGTTACAGAGTAAGCACCTCAATTAAAACCAGGCCTAGGAACCAAAGGCACTTCAGGTCCTACAGATACCAGTGCCCTGAGCCCTTGGGGAGGGGGGCAGTGGGGGAAGGGTGGGCAGTCAATGGCCAAATCAATCCTCTTACTCCCCCTGCTGGCTTGCCCGTGCTGGTAAGAGGTATGAGTAAGGCCTTTGAGCTCTACTCCGGAGGATCTCTGGGCCCTGGGGTCCAGGAGCACAAGACCTCTCCCCCAAACTCAATTACTGACC